TTTTTTTTTTTTTTTTTTTTTTTTTTTTTTTTTTTTTTTTTTTTTTTTTTTTTTTTGCTTCTACGGGAAAGCTTTGGTTAATGTGAATAACGGCAGATGTAATGTTCCAGAAAATCAAAAACGTTAGAAACCAGGCACTACTTTTAAGCGAAGAAGGCACTTTCTACTTTAATATAGTATTTTAGCAATTTTAATATATTCTAAAACGCTTTTAAGGACCCTATAAAAATCATATCAATCTAAATCTAGCAAAAGTAATGAGCCTAGCAATTTTATGATCAGTTCCTACAAGAATACTCAAATAAAAACGGCTTTACGGTAATTGAAATACCAAAACAAGATTGCAGAGTGGAAGGGAAGAAGACGTACATGGGATGGTGACCATGAGAAGGATTTGGGGATGAAGGCGAATCTCAGAGGAAAAATTTTGCTTCGTAAGAATTCGCCATTCCGAATTCAAGCTCTGGCTACGATCGCTGCCACTTTTTCCGGCGGATTCGATAACGCGAGCTGAAAAAAGAATCAGAATAGACAGGATGACTGCTGTGGCGAGTGAGGCGGTCGGTCTCATCTCTTCCCGTTTTGAATCGAAATCTACGTAACTTAAGCAGGATTTAACCTAAATAACTTTGAATCCTACATAATCTAAAACCCCGTTTCTGCTCCTTTCTGCCTATAATCCTGATTCAGTAAGCGAAGTTATTTTAAATGCGCAGGTCTCCTTAACTCTTCTTCTTCACACGCAGCTGGTCTTCTTCCGGGACGCGACTTTCTGGGATCATCTGCAGGGAAAAAATTTGAGTACATACAGACAGGTTACAAAGAGGATTTCAGGAGGTTATAATCGTGTTATACACCCTGTAACTTCCCTGTAACCTACCTATATATGAAAACAGAAGCGTGGAACTGACTCGAAGGTACAGGTAGGTTACAGGGAGGTTACAGGGGGAATAACGCGGTTATAACCTCCTAAAATCATCCCTGTAACCTGTTTGCAGGTTACAGACGTACACAACTCTGCGTACATCTTATGTACGCAAATTTTTTCCCGTAAGAGGATGGGTGTTCGGCTATCAATAATTTTCCCTACGTGCTCCCCGAGTGCAGTAAAACGATATTAACCCGACCTGAATCAAGGGTTACTGCGGGATGGGGTGGGGGGGAGTCATTGATGGGTTTATTTTCGAGAGTTTATAAGTGGTTATTTCGAAGATGATTGTGGGGGTAGTGGGGGTTATTTGGGGTTATTCTGACTTTATTAGAATGGTTCTGTCATTATTTGAATGGTTCAATGGGGTTATTGTGGGAGTTATTGTGGTGATTTTGTGTGGATTATTGGGGCTATTAAGAGGTTATTTGGGGTTATTACGGCTGTTCTGCGGGGTTATTGTGGTGGTTCTGTGGAGATTATTATAAGGTTATTGGGGGATTATTTAAGTGGCTCGTGGGGCTTATTGGAGTTGTTCTTGTGATTTTACTATGGTGTTAGTGGGAGGTTATTGTGGGGATATTGGGAGGTTTTTTATTTAAATTTTAATGTTTTAAACGTCTGTCTTGTCTATTGTAAAACGTAAAAGGGTGACGTTTTGATTCTTAGACATTCATTTTCGAAAGAAAGGCTTAGGGTTTTGCATTCGCTCGTGAGCTAGGGCTTTCCTCTTTGTCCTTTAGTTTCTGATAAAGCTTTGCATTGTGTCCTTTGAAGCAAGATTAAAATGGAAGACACAAGCGAGTCAATGAGAATGAAGTTGGAAGAGCAAAAGAAAATGGTGAAGAAAGATCATTAGAAGGAGAATGAATCAGATAAGAGTTGGCAAGACGTATCAAGGTAACTTCGTTTGTTGTTTTTTAGTCCTAAAAAAATCCTTGTAATATCATACAATGACTAAAATAATGTTCTGAAATAATCCTCACAATTTTGGGTTATTGAGGAGATATTGGGTTATTTTGGCATTAATATGGTGTTATTACGATTATGATGATAATATGGTGTCATTATACCTCTATTATGTTAATATGGTGTCATTATGCTTCTATTCATCAAGGTTTTGAACCCAAAGGTCATGATCGTAGATGTCATCTATCAGCAGTTAGAGATGTTCTTTATAAGGTTTGGCCTACCATTTCAAATGAGACATAATTTGAAAGCAATGAATATAGATCAATTTTTTGAACTAACTACATACCCTCAAAATCATATGCACATATCAAAGTGTTGGGATATTGATCGAATGCTTTTCAATATGGGCGGGAAAGAGCTATGATTTGATTCAGATGAAGTTGTCTTGCTCATAGGCATGTCCAACAGAGGATCATCAGTTAAATGAAATAAGGTTTCCTCCTGTGGCGTGGATGTCAGACAAATAAAAAGCGACCTATTGCAGGTTGCACTAGGGTAGTCTTCTATTCCCTTTGACGATCTATTTCTTAAGTTTTTTATTTTCAAATTTATTTTTTCTTTCAAGCAATTTTAGCGCGGCGAAAGGTCTTTACAATCTATGAAAATGTACATGATTTTTTTTCTTTTAATTGGTCAACTACGATATGTGAATTTTTCATTGAGCGAGTCATTGTCTGCTTCATAAAAAAAAAGGGACCAACAATTGGGATGCATTAATGGTTTTGTTTTTCTTCCAACGGTTAGTGTCCAATGCTTTCATCTGAAAGTCTCCTTATGTATTTTGTTCATATCAAATTGTGATTTTTTCTATGTTTTGCACTGCTATGATTTTATGAGCACACATTTTTGGTTGTCTCCATTGCTCTTGAGGCCATGCCTCGCATGTTGAGGTGGTCTATAAGTTTGAGGTGGAACCCATCACATATTCATATAGTCTTTAAGAGGCTAAACCCTGCACAGGTGAGTCATTTATCTTATAATCCCTTGAAGGTGTTATTCTAATTTATGATATTGTTTTGTAGGTGTTATTCTGATTTATGCTGACACCATTTCTCTAAAATGCTTTGCAGATTTTTTATTTTTTTGTGGATTTAAAAGAGGATGAGCATCATTTATTGTCTCTTATAGTTGAAGGACCATCCATTCATATGATCAGAATCCCTCAACAGAAGCTCACTCCATACGGCATTCACCCGATGCTTTTGATGTTAATAATGTTGCACGAACACATACACATACAGGCAGTAATATTGGATTAGAAGAAATATATTATATACTTAGAGATCAAAAGAAATTTCTTTTTTACTTTTAATAACCTGTGAATGTCATTTTACTAATTTAGATGGCAGAAAGTTAGAGTTATAGTTTTAAGTGAATAAATTAGGGAACGAAAAACAAAAAAAAAACAAAACTAAAGGTAAATTTATTATAAAAAGGGTGCATGAATCCTAAATTGGCAGTTTGATCCAAAAGGTTAAGGCCAGAGCAGATAGAAAAAAAAGGAAATTAAGTATCACATGTACAGTAGTACAACAGAAGAAAAGAAAACAAATAAAGGAAGTGGAGGAGCGTTCCAAATGTTCGATAGATGTTTTACTTGCACATATCGAAAAAATAGTAGAAATAATGGATGAGTCTATTTCACAAAAACCAATAATAACAAACTCATTACAGCCAATTACAAAACAACTCATTACATAATAGAAGCTTAATTAAGTAAAAAACATAATAGTTTAATGGAAAATGAATATTGTTACTCATTACAGATTATGAAGATGTAAATAAAGAGGATGAGGAGAATTATCAAAACATTACAAAAGCCCAAGAAGTAAACAGAGAGGAAGAGGAGCAAGACCAAGTTAGGCCTGAAGCTTAAGAAGTACATATATAGGAAGAAGAGCAAAAACAGCTCATTCCAGAACATCACAATACAAATAAAGAGCTTGAGGAGCAGGTCTCAGTCCCAGAAAATGAAGAAGAATATCCTGATAAGATATGCAATACAACCTACTCTAGATTAGTTTCCTACATCCTTTGTTGTCATTATATATGTAGAGTTATTGATTTTTTAGGTGCGTCCAACATCATTAGTGGTTGATTTTCCTGCTATAGCTCAAGTTCCAACTCACATGCTAGAACTAATCGATCAATGTTGTAGTAAATACACTACCATGTGAGCAAACTATGATGTTTTTTTTTTTAGTTCTGCATTACTTTGGTATACAATTCTCCCAAAAATTATATGTTTGAAATGCAGTGATAAGATTATAATAAGAGTGGGACCTGTTGGAGTAAGTCGAAGTTGCATTGAGGATATATTGAATAATGATTGGCTAGCAAATGAGCATGTAAATTGCTTTGCATTAATAATGGAAAAGAAAAGAATCAAATCATCACAATTATTTAGATCATATGTCTACGTTGCTCAACTTCATTGGGTAAATATTCAAGTTCAAGTGATTTGTAGTGCATTTAAATACATCTACCATTATAAAAGTTTAGGAACTATAATGTTTTATTTATGTAAATGTACAGAAATAAAAATTTTAAAAGTGCTTGTTAGACATATAACAAATGATAAAATTAAAAATGTTGAGTTTACTTTGATACCAATAATTAATAATCAACATTGGACACTATTGGTTTGGATATTGAAGTATCTTAAATGAAGATTGTATGACTCCTTACCCACAAAATGCATATACCGATCACCCACGACGTCGTAAGAACACTTAGCATAATATCATTCATTTTTGAAGCAATTTTAATATGATGTTATTGATTTAATATGACTTCATTGTTTCTATTAAAAATTTAAAAAATGCAGATTAAACATCTTGTGAGGGATGTTGAGGGAGCTTATAGGAGTAACTTGTGTAAATGACCAGTTTTTATGATGAAAGACATTCTGATCCAAAATAATAATGTTGATTGTGGTGTGTTCATATGTAAATGTATTGAAGCACTTGTACAAATAGATAGCACTTGTAAAATTGTGTTGTCTCAAACATAGCTGTAATTATTTTTTTTTTTATCATACATACATTAATTGAAGGATTTTCTTACATTTTTAATATTTTATCATCTAGATTTTGTTATCATCCAGATTTTGTCCTTTTTATGCATCAATATTTTGATTAACAATTTCTATAAACTTATTATTCAAGTTCTTTTAAGCTTTTCTTTAGCTTCTGATGAAAAAAAAATTTATTTATGCAAGATTTGCATACATAACGCTGAACTCCTATGTATTTACATATCTAATACCTATATTAATCTCTTTCTTGCACTACTACTCTTTGATTTTGGAGTTGGATATGTAGAATCATTTTATATAAAAAAAAAAATTCTTGTTGGCTGCCTTTGGAGATGAAGTAACTTCTGTGTATTTTGCTATTTTGGTTACTAATACAAATTTAGAAGGGGATCATGTGCCCTTAATGACAAGATAACCTCCAACAACCCTAGATGATAAACTCAAATAACCCTGATACAAAATCAAGACATCAATAAACCCGTGTTTCAACATCAATAACTCTGCAAATAAACTCAAATAACCCTCCCGTAACGCCACAAGACCGTTGATAACCCCGCGTTTCAGCTTCAATAACCCCGCAAAATGACTCAGATAACCCTCCAATAACCACATTGTTTTGCCTCAATAACCCCACTTAAAA